CGAATTTTCTGATCTGTTGTTTTCATTCGGATTGGTGTTATTTTGGAGGTTGCTACCAATAGAATTTCGAAATTCGTGAGCTGGGATGCCTCCGATGAAAAAATGGTTCGACACAACCATCTCTTGAACTGAACTTTGTAAGTGAATTTCCAGCAGCAGCGTTTTTCAACAGAAAGGCATCCTTCAGAAGGAAGGGGTTTGTGATCTTCAGAATTTTATTTCTCCTCACACAAATAATTTTCACCTCACTATATATACAAGTATTGATGATTACATTTTCACATCACTCATTAGTTGACTCGAAGAAAGTTTAACCGAGAAGTTGACATGTGATTATCACTGTTGTTGTTATTTTCGTTGCTCCCGTTGGTTACTAAATCTCATCGTTTCCAATTATCTTATGAAATAATCATCGAAACTTTGCCTCGGCCGGTTCTTACTGTGAGTCTGCAAGTCTTCCTCTCGTATCATCTGATCATGCATCATACTGTCAGTTTGGAAAAATGGCGGCCAAAACCGGCGTATTGTTTACTCAGGATTGCGTACCTTCTGTCGTGAAGTGCACATTTAAGTTCGTTCTAATTACTGTTCTATTTGTTTTGTGTCTCTTTATTCATATATTTCTTCACGTAATGTTTCTCTGTTTTGAACTCTCATGAACTGATTTTCAAACAATGAAACTCGTTGAGAAATTTTGTTTCAAGTCGCTGCTTCTAATAACAGTTGAAGTAATTCAGGAATATGTTAAATTGATGTAATATCAGAATCGAGTGATACTTCGATTTCAGCAAATTGCAAATTGCTCACGAATTATTGAGGGTCATTTTCTGTTGGATTTCCGTTGGGTTGTGCTCCGAATTGCAAAGAATTTTCATGATTAATTTTTCTTGTGGCATTTTAACTTCATTGATGAAACTGTTTCGTCTGCAAGAATGATGCGTACCAATTTTCGAGCATATCAAAAGCATTCATGCACCGTAGACGTAAACTGACCACCGTAAGTATAAGAGCTTCAAAGGATTCGTCACTCCCAACGAATTCATGAAGTCTTTATTCGGATATCCAATATCGATGAGTGGCAGGCAAACTGAATCAGCTTCTGAAACATTTCCAACTCGTCTCTGTTCTATTCATTCGTTGTTCATTTATGATTATCATTGTACTCTATAATAGACGTATGATTAATTGCCTATTATTTTGAGTTGTGATCTCATTCAGATGTTTATTATACATATATCGATCAATTTGATAACTATTTTCGTATCGTTGATGTTAAGTCGTAAATCTCGTTGTTTTTTTTCATACGTGTCGTTTGTTCTATTCGAAATTAAAATTCTCGTATCTTTTGTTGCACTTCGCTTCTCATCATCGTGGCATCGATTGATTTATTAGTCGATTTGGTTAGGCGAATGGGTGAATTCAATCAATTCCCTACTTTCATTTATGACTCGATTTTCATTTAAATGGTCGTTTTTTATAGTATGATGAATGTGAAAATTTTCTCCACACCTCAGGTGATATGAAGAATGTTGCAATTGTTGCCATAGCGAAGAAGTTTTCTTCTTTAAAGTTCGCCTTCATCACCAGTGTTTAGAAAGGAGATCACACTATGCGAAACGCTGTTCTGAAACTGATTTTTAGAATGATTGTTTCGCTCGAAATTATATTCCAAACTATTTTCGTTCGGATGCATTCGAAAATACTTCGTATTTGTTGTAGATTAGCTGATATGAACACTTTTCTCTTGAATGAGATAATGATTTTAGCATATTCCTTGATTGGCTTTTCATGATGCGAATATGATTCGGTCCTTATTTTGCATGCATCCATTTCGATTTCATATGTCCATGTTTTGACTGACTTATCGTTGGGTTATTTTGATTTTCATCTGGTACTTTGAACACTTAATTACACTTTCCATATTATTGGTGAATAGTATTTAATATTTAAATGCTATCCACGAATGGCCAATATACTCAGTGGTCTGTTATGCAGTGGAAAACAGCCGATTGTATAATATCAAATTCAGATGACCTGTTGAAAGGTTTTACTCTTCAGTGGTTTCATCGAATAATTGGTGAGATGAGGTTTTTTGGTGTTATGAATGTCTTTTGCAAATCATATTACCTCTCTCAACGTTTTTAATAAACTATTTGCGTATCGTGTTTGTGGTTTGAATCGTATTTTGAGTTGTAATATTTATTATTTCAGTAATGATTGGTTCATTTTTTTGAATTGTTGTTGTTTGTGAAAGAGCAATGTTCGACAAGTTATATCCATCTTTCTGTTTGTGTATTTTTTCACAAATTTGATGCGAATGTTTCTTATGGAGGTTATTTGTTTTATTTCGGTTGTTCAGTAATTGTTGTGAAATTCGATTCATATGGAACCGTTCAAGATATTTCATGTTTTTGTTTATAATTGATTTTATCTTATTTTATGTAACACAATGAATGTATTATATAAAGTGCACAGTTAATTGACTTCATCCATGAGCGTGATCGTTTTCTACTATTCTGTCACAAACTGCCTCTTCAATAAAATTTGTTTCGATGTGAACAGATGGATTCGTTGATTTTGGTTAGGTGAATTGTTTAGTTATCAAGACTACAAACGAGGCAATGATCTGCTTTATTCGTTATTATTTCGGCTATCTTTTGCAGTGATACTTCTGTTCAGTTTTGTGGAAGAATCGTTTTGATTTGTTGATCTTGATGCGTTCCGAGTTGAGATTAATCAAAAAATGGTAGAAATAATGAGGTAATCACTGGTTATCCGAGATACGATCTTTGTTTGCATGAAAAACAATTTAATCAT